CACCAGGAATTTTCTCCCAAGGAGCCATTGGTGGGTTTGCACCACCAACCTTTGGGTTAGCAGCTTAAACATTGTGCCACCAAGGCTCCTTCTGTAATGCTTACAGCCGAGAAGATTCTATGGGGCAATTCTGCTCTGTCACGTGGGGTTGCTATGAGTTGGAATCAACTCGACAGCACCTAACAGCAGCATACCTTCATATTGAACACTGAGCCAGTAAGAGTTGTTTGTCTCTGAACACACTGACATTTAGTCAGCTTAGCATAAAATAGGCTTCCTAGGCCCAAATTGCAAACTTATTTTCATTTTTTTTCTGACGTTCAGTGGCCTCACTAACCAGACAGGAATTTTGCGCTTTGCAGGGTCCGATTAAGGCCTTTGAACGGAAAGGATTAGGTGCCTCTCCCTCCCTGTGCTTCAAAATTGCAGCACTCGGATTGTGTTGGCAATATGAGTTTGCAGGGTAAGTGCAGGGACGTCCAACAAAGCTCTGGGTTTTCCCACACACCATGACTACTTAGTGCCTTTTCTGAGATATGGATAACAAATTCAAACTGCGAAGTCATCCTTTGTAGCGCAGGGAATGTGCTCAGCCCTCTCAAGGCTACCCAGCTGACACTTGGAAGCTGTGAGGAAACCCTTCACCTGCCACTGGTTCTCTGCCTTCATGAGCTTGCTCCAGGGTAGCTGGGGGCTCTGATATTCACAAGAGCCTTCTTAGCCTGCTTTGTCATTGCAGAGCTAGGTCTCTTTCCTTCTCTGTGACCCAAATGAAACGAAGAAGTCTCTCTGTTCTGGTAATTCCAGATGTTTCCTCCGTCTTTTTTTTTTTTTTAACCTGTAATTAATTATCTGTCAGGATGTGTTTTTCTGTGGCCAACTTACTAGCTTAAGTCAGTTTTGCTTCTGGGCCTTTCACTCATTCACCATATATTTATTGAGTGCTCAGAAAATTGAGCTTTTTTAACCTTTTACTGCTTTCTGCTTAAAAGAGTCAAGGTTTTCCCTCTGAACTGTTTAAGCATATTTTGGACATAACTGAACAGTTTTTAAAAAGTGTTTAATGGAATAATTTTTTTTACTATTGTATTTTAGATGAAGGTTTACAGAACAAATTCATTTCTCATTAAACAATTAATACACATATTGTTCTGTGACATTGGTTGCCAACCCTATGACATGTCAACACTCTCCTCTTCTTGACTTGTATTCCCCATTACCAGCTTTCTTGTTCCCTCCTGCCTTCTCGTCCTGGCCCCTGGGCTGGTATGTCCATTTAGTCTCGTATACATGGTTTGAGGTATGTGTATTATTGTTTGTTTTATGGGGCTGTCTAATCTTTGGCTGAAGGGTGAATCTCAGGCGTGACTTCATTACTGAGCTAAAAGGGTGTCCGGGGGCCATACTTTCGGGGCTTCTCCAGTCTCTGTCAGACCAGTAAGTCTGATTTTTTTTTTTTTTTTTTGAGTTAAAATTTTGTTGTACATTTATCTCCAGGCCTGTCCTGGACCCTGTATTGAAATCTCTGTCAGAGCAGTCAGTGGTGGTAGCCAGGCACCATTTGGTTGTGTGGGACTCAGTCTGGTGGAGGCTGTGGTAGTTGTGATCCATTAGTCCTCTGGACTAATCTTTCCCTTGTGTCTTTGGTTTTCTTCATTCTCCTTTGCTCCAGATGGGGTGAGACCAGTGGAGTATCTTAGACGGCCACTCACAGGCTTTTAAGACCTCAGACGCTACCCCACAAAGTAGGATGTAGAACATTTTCTGTATCAACTATGTTTAACAAAACAGTTTTGACCACAGTTTTATACACTGGCTTCCACCTGGTTTACCCTCTGGGCAGTATAATTCTGGCCTCCCCTGCTCTGCCTCATTTCTTCTCAATCCACTGATTGTCTTACCCAACAGGCCACAGGGCAGGAATTTCCTATCAATCATTTCAAAAAAAAATTGCCATTGAGTCAATTCCAACTCATGATGACTCCATGTGTGTTGGAGTAGAAATGCACTCCATAGAGTTTTCGATAGCTCTGATCTTTTGGAATAAGATTGCCAGGCTTTTCTTCAGAGGTGCTGGGTAGATTCAAACCAACCTTTCAGTTAGTAGCTGAGTGCTTATCCCTTTATACCACCCAGGGACTCCTTAGTTTCTTTTCATAGATCACAGATGCAGGAGAAAGGAAAAACCTAAACTTATTTCTTGTCAGGTTTGCTTCATAAATATGGCCCCTCACACACACACACACACACACACACACACACACACACACTGACCCTGACACCCAAAGTGGACTACCTGGCCCCTCTCAGGGGACTTCTTGGGGTTTTAGGAGAGAGTGACAAGGGGATTAGAAAAGAGAAACCTATTTTAGAATTGTGCTGCACAGTGTTCAAAGCATTTTTTACAAGTATTATCTCTCATACAGTTCAGTAGGCAAGGCAGAAGCTTTCACATTTTAGTGAAGGAACTAAGGTTTTGAGAGATGAAATGGGTTGACCTGAGATCATAAAGCTAATAATGCATTCGTGCTCCCCTAGAACACGGGTCTTTGGACTCTACTTTGCTGTCTGTCTTGCCCAGTCTCGCACTTCCTGGTCTCTGGAGATCCAGTTAGAAAGGAAGCAGGGGAAAGCGAGCGTTTGGCTCTGCCCTCAGAGAGCTTCCAGTCTGACTGAGAAGATAATAAAGACTTATGGCAAACTAATGCTAGGCCGAGGGCTCCTGGGAAGGACAAAGGGCTTGGGTCAGATTTTTTTTTTTTTAATTGTGATAAATACATACACAGCTGGCACAAATCGCTAAGCACTCGGCTGCTAACTGAAAGGTTGGCAGTTAGAACCCACTTAGCGGCTCCACAGGAGAAAGACCTAGCGATCTGCTCCCTTAAAGATCACAGCCTAGAAAACCCTGTGGGGCAGTTCTACTCTGTTCCATGGGGTTGCTACAAGTCGAAATCAACTCCACGGCACCTAACAACAACAACAAATATATATGTAACAAAACATTTGACATTTCAACAATCTTCACATGTACAGTTTAGTGCCATTATGTTCATCATGTTGTCCAACCATCACCCTTACCTCGGGTCAGATTTGACTGAGGTTGGAGAACCAGGTGGGGGTTGGGGAGTGGAGGCAGTGGGACTGTGAAACAGGTTACCTGTCTTTTTTACCCTCAAAACCTTTCGCTTGCTCTTTACCCAGACCCTTGCCCTCTCCTCCTGGTCCACCGATGCTTCCTCTATTCTCCTTAGGTATCTATCCACCTTCAGGAGGACGCCTCCCATACCTACGTGCTGCTGATGAAGGGGGCTCCCGAGAGGATCTTGGACTTGTGCTCTACTTTCCTGCTGAATGGGCAGGAGTATCCAATGAACAATGACATGAAGAACGCCTTCCAGAATGCCTACTTGGAGCTGGGAGGTCTGGGAGAACGTGTGCTAGGTGAGGGGGCTCTGGGAGAAGGCTTCGAAAGAATGGCACTGACATGGTATTATTGGTGGGGTGGACCATCTAGGAAGTTGGGGCAAAGGGGTTAGGGACATAGATGGCTGAATGACTGCTGGTCCTTTCTTCTCTCCACAGGATTCTGTTTCTTGAATCTGCCTAAGAGTTACTCCAAGGGATTCCCTTTTAATACCGATGATATCAATTTTCCCATGGAGGAGCTTTGTTTTGTGGGGCTCATTTCCATGATTGACCCTCCAAGAGCTGCTGTGCCTGATGCTGTGAGCAAGTGTCGTAGTGCAGGCATTAAGGTAAATCCCTGAGCACCCCAGAAACCACCCTCCTCCTCCCTGTCACAAATTAGAGCAGCTAGTAGAAAGCCTTGCACAGACTGAGTGCTTCATAATGTTGGTTGCACTGAATTGATTTCTACTTCCTTGAGCTTATGACTTTTATTCTTAAGAGGTACCTATAGTCAGTTTCCTCCATCGTTAGAAGCCTGTCTTGCATTGCTCATCAGAATCACCAGGGAAGCTTTAAAAATCTGATGCCCAGGTACGACCTAGACCAACTAAATTAGAAACTCTTAGGGTGGGACCCAAGGAGCTCTGATGGTGCAACGGATAGGCCCTCAGCGGCTAACCAAAACATTGGTGGTTCAAACCCACTCAGCTGCTCCACAAAAAAAGACCTGGCGATCTGCCTCCCTAAATATTACAGCCTAGGAAGCTCCATGTGACGGTTGTACTCTGTCATATGGGGTCGCTATGAGTCAAAAATCAACTTGACGGCACTTAACAACAAGGTGGGGCCAGGCCGCTGTTTGTTTTTTCTTTTTTAACTTTTCTGGAGATCCCAATGTGCCACCAAGTTTTGGTTTTTGTTTTATTTGTGGCACCTAGTTTGAGAATACTATCACAGCACTTCCTACAATTTCACATGCATGTGAATCGGCTGGGGATTTTGGTAAAATGCAGGTCCTGATTCAGTGGGTCTAAGGCACCCCGAGAGTCTGCATTTCTAACCAACTCTCAGGTGATGTCATTGCTGCTGGCCTGCAGACTCCACTAGGAGTAGCAAAGTTCTAGAAGATGTCATGTGAATGAGCCGCTGGGATGGGTAGTAAAAGGCTAAGGCCAAGTGGGCTGGGGTCTGGGGCAGGCAATAGTAAGAATAACATATGCAGAGCTGGGGACACACAGCGAGTCAGACTCAGAGGGAGCAGCTGCTCTAACAGGTATATGTCCTAACAGGTATATGGCCAGAAGCCAAAATGAATTTGCCCAAGAGTGAAATGCAGCTGCAGAACAAACCCAGAGATGGGACTTCCTGTGTGGTCAGAATGGGCCTGGGACTTCATGGGATGGCAGCAGCAGAATTCTTCTAATTCTGATATGTTGTGTATCCTGCATTTCCCAGGTCAAGTCCTGAGACTCTTATACATCGTCATAGATTAGACATGGAAGCCTTCTCTGGTCACACCTGATAGTCTAGATTACCTGCAACTAATGTAGATCTTAGACTCTGGGGGTTTGGGAAGGGTAGGCAGTTTAGAGTAGAGATGGATTTGGAGGTATTTAAGGAAAACTGGATTAGAAACCCTAGTGGTGTAGTGGTTAAGTGCGATGGCTGCTAACCAAAGGGTCAGCAGTTTGAATCCACCAGGTGCTCTTTGGAAACTCTACGGGGCAGTTCTACCCTGTCCTATAGGGTCACTATGAGTCGGAATCAACTCAATGGCAATGAGTTTTTTTTCTTTTTAGATGCCATCTAAGAAAAGTCCCTGAGTAGCAAAAATAGTTGAGTGCTTGGCTACTAATGGAAAGGCTGGTGGTTTAAATCCACCCAGAGGCACCTCAGAAGAAAGGCCTGGTGATCTACTTCTGAAAGATCACAGTCATTGAAAACTCAGTGGAGTACAGTTCTACTCTGAAACACATGGGGTCCCCATGAATCGGAATTGGCTCAATGGAAATCAGTTTGGCTTTGGTTTAGATAACATCTGTTGGAGCTGGCTTTATATTAGAACTTGCCTGTTGGCAGCTTGCCTGGAGGTCAGCTTGTCCCATGCTAAGCTCAATAGTAGGTCACTAGAGTGGGGACCAAGGAATAGATGTATATGGGAAATGATTGTGAGTGACTGTCCTAGTCACTACATCACAAGCTGTTTGGGATGGTACAGTTCTCTGCATGGATGGCATTATTACAACACATCTGCATAGGATAACCAAGATATATTGATATTACCCCATGGTTCTTTAAGCTTCCCTATCATATTGTGGAAGATAAGTAGAGAAGGGATTCATCTAAATTTTCTGAGCCTTGAAGTGAGCTATTAGAAAGAGGAATAGCATTGTGGATGTTGTCTCAAATTTATCTCCTCTGAGAGTCTGTGGATCCTGTTAGAATATGAACTCTCCCAGGGGAAGAGAGGACTATTGTGGCTAGAGTAGGGAGACCCAAACAGAGACAGGATGCCTATCAGGTAGGATATCCTCACACCTTAGGCAGAGCAGAGGAGTCCAAAGGTGGCAAAAAATGGTTAAGCTTTCAGCTCTAACCAAAAAGTTGGAGGTTTGGGTCCACCCAGAGTTGCCTAGGAAGAAAGCCACTGAAAACCTTAAGAAGCGCAGTTCTACTCTGACACACATGGGGTTGCCATGAATTGGAATAGCCTTGATGGCAACTGGTTTGATTGTTGAGGCAGAGCAGGCCCCGGATAGCCTAAGGAGGCTTCCTCCCAGGGCTGGCCACCAGCTGGTAGCTAAAGTGGGAGGCCTTAGCGCTTCCAGGGTTAGTCCTTGTTCTGGGCACAGGTTGACAGGTCCCATTGTAATTTCTTGCCTTCTCCTGGACCCTAAACAGATAGACACTTGGCCGATTTAGTGAGGTATTTCAAATAATCCCCACTTCCCAATAGGGGTTGCTTTGTGGTATGGTCGTAAGGCATACCCCATCCTTCAAGGAGAACCAGACGTAATGACCCTTCCAGGGTCAACTCCGAAATGGTGTTAAGCCTCATGTAAGGCTGCTGAACGAAAGAAGTAGGGTTAAGTTTGCGTGGCAGCAAAGTTGTTATAAAGACACGACTGTGGAACTATTGATTCCCAGGTAGCCATGTGTTCAGGCTGCTGGAATAAATGTGATTTTAAAAATTAAAATAAAATCACCCCAATCTATTCACCACTAACTGAAGCTCTTAGTTGCGTGAAGATACTCGGCCCTTGCTATGATCCTGGCCCCGCTAAGAACTGCAGCCCGATCTACAGTAACTTCACAACACTGGAAAGTTTCTCTCAGCTGGGACTGATGTAGGGGAAGGAGGGTACGTGGGAACAAGAAGGTAGCTTGCAAGACTGCGTGGGAACATCAGAGGTGTAGCCAGCACCAACTATTCGGAAATTAAATTCTTTTGGTACTTAGCAAATTCCAGAAACTGCTAGATGCCGTTTACCTCAAGCGGAGTCATTCTCTATAGAACTACACTTCTATTGTATGTCCACTTCTCACTGCCCTAGGAATTTGTGTCCTAGGAACTCACACTTGGGGTGATTGACTATTTTTATTTATCCAGCGTGGCTTGGAGGTTGTACAGGCAGTCCCCGGATTACGAAGGCCGACAGACACGCAACCCATAGTTATGAATCAGTCTTCATAAAGCCTATTATATTAAAAATTCGAGGTACATACTATGGTTCATAATAACAAACAGGTGCTCCTTTGCGACGCCCATCAAAACATTGTTACTATTATTACTGTATTATTATGTTAAAAATGTTTTAGTGTAGCTGGAAGTGTTTCTTTAATGTTTTTATGCATGGAAAGTTACACTCTATACTATATACTAAGACAAACATTTGACTCACTAACCTTAGATACAAACTGTGCCTCACTGTTCCAATTTACATATAATCTGATTTAAAGACAGATTTAGGAATAGAACTTGTTCATAATCCGAGGACTGCCTGTACTGCCAGAAATTACTGTATTGTTGTTATTACCATTTAGTCAATTTTGACTCACAGCGACCCCATGTGTGCAGAGTAGAAGTACTCCATAGGGTTTTCTTAGCTGTAATCTTTACAGAAGGAGACCACCAGGCCTTTTCTTCTGCGGTACTGCTCGGTGAGTTTAAACCACCAACCTTGAGGTTAGCAATCAATCGCAAACCGTTTGTGCCACCTAGGGACCTTTGAAACGACTATAGAACAAACCATTTCAATGGTCAGACTGAAACTAGGCCCTAGGAATATAGGATGATGACACCACTCCTGTCCAGCAGGTCCTGGGTCACTTTCGATAAGCCCTTGGAAAGCTTTCAGGGCACTGTCAGTCTGAAAGCCATGACTGAAGGCTCAGACCATCAAAAATGCATCTGGAAGACGATCTCTACAGTTCCCTCTCAGACCCTCACCAGATACTAGGCTCCCCACAGGCCAAGTCTGAAGGGGAGTGGTCCAGCGCTTCACAGCTAAGGCAGAACCCTCCAAATCAGGGCTTGTCGGTAGCAGCTCATAGTGGGATTTACTGAATCTCCAGTAATCACAGTTCAGCTCCTGCTTTCCTGTCTTCTGCCAGTAAGTCCGGGCACCACTGTGAAATGATGGGGCTCATTATGCCCCAGGCTTGATTCTTTGGGAAAAACTTCTTCAAGGTTTATTTCCATGTTTTGAAAGTAAATAGCCGGACCTTTCAAAGACCTCTGCGCCTAGAAGCAGCTGGATAATTTAGTCACAGACAGTTTCCTTCTACTTCCCTCAGAGCTTGGAAAATTGTGTGCTTGGAAGGCTCTGGAGAACCATGGATGTGGTTCCCAGGTAGGGGTTATTCCTACATTCAGCCATTATTTGTTGAAGGAAGGCTTAATATGGGCTAAAGGAGCCCTGGTTGGCGGTTAGAACCCACCAGCCGCTCCACGGGAGAAAGATGTGGCAGTCTGCTTCTGTAAAGATTATAGCCTTGGAAACTCTATGGGGCAGTTCTACTCTGTCTTATAGAGTCACTATGAGTCAGAATTGACTCAATGGCAATAGGCAATGGGTATTATGTGCTAGGCATTGTTCTAGGGCAAACTTAGCAAAGAACCGTAGGGATGGGCCCCCTTCCCAGAGCTCTCAGTCCAGTGGGGGGAGAGATAATCACAATCACAACAGAGAAGTGATGGATGATGTCATATGGAAAGAACAGGATGCTATGAAAGCAGAGCATGGGCACCTAATCTTTGGGCGGGGATGGGAAAAGACTAGGGCTTGTGACAGGTATCCAAAAGTGGGTTGGGCCCCAGAGGCCAGGTGAGGCAAAAGAGAAGTAGGGTAAAGATCTGAATGTGCCAGGGCCAAGGTAAAATTTTGGTAGACAGTTGGAATTTTCCAGATGTTCCTTTATTACCACTTGTTTTATGTGTAGGTGTTTTTGTCTTGGATCTTAAGGGAATAGAATAGCTTTTGGAGTGATCAAATGAAATGGTGAATATAGTAATACACACAGCTTGTTTTGTGTTTTATGGTCTGATGTTCCTTACCCACTCCCAAGGGTCAGGACTTTTGGTCTGTAGCACGAGTCCCTGGGAATGAGCTACTAAAACCTTTGTTGAATGAAAGCAAGGTTCCATTCATTCTTAGAAGAGAAATCTAAAGGATCCAGGGCCTCCCTGAAGATGACTGTGCTCCTCTTCCCTCCCTTGCCCAACCCAGGTGATCATGGTAACAGGGGATCATCCCATTACAGCCAAGGCCATTGCCAAGGGTGTGGGCATCATCTCAGAAGGCACCGAGACAATAGAGGACGTGGCTGCCCGGCTCCAGGTCCCTGTCAGCCAGATCAATCCCAGGTAGGACCCTTAAAGCACTAAGATCTGACATTTTTGTCTCCATCCCTAGCTTTCCGCATTCAAGTCCCACTTACTAAAGCTCTTAGAGTTTCCTTCAGTGGGTAGGTTTGCCGGTTTGACATATTACAAAGTAAAACATAATAGGAAAATGCCAAGTTTTCAGAGGAAGTGAGACAGAGAAAGAGGTAGAGAAAAAGGAGGAGTGGTTGGGAAAAGGAGATAGGGCTGCAATGTGTTGATTTGGGACAGTGTATGCTTGGGGACAAATGAGGAGATGGAGTTGAAAGGAGAAACAACAAAGAGGTTATAGTAAAGATTGGTTAGAGGGTACCAGGCCCCCTAGTGAATTCCCAGTGCTCAGAACTAGACTTCTGAAATTCTTTCCCTCAGAGATATCAAAGCCATTGTGGTGCATGGCTCAGAACTAAAGGATATGTCATCAGAGCAGCTCGATGAGATCCTCAAGAACCACTCAGAGATTGTGTTTGCCCGGACCTCCCCGCAGCAGAAGCTCATCATCGTGGAGGGATGTCAGAGGCAGGTAAGAGAGCAGAGGACCCCTGGGGAGTCTGGCAGAAATCCTGTGATATAACCCAGCCCATAACCAAGTGGAAGAATGTTTGAGTTAGGCTAGGAGATACCCAAGAGAGTAGATGGGCTTCCATTTGAGGGCTCCCGGAGACTTTTACTATTTCAGAACGAGCAGGAGAAGGAAGGACCATGACTCCTTGATCAAGCATGATTACACCAAGAAACAAGCGATGCTGAAACAAAACTGACCTGTGGGTCTGGTCTCAATTTGACACACTAATTATTTCACTTCCTCTATCTGGGCTCTCTCCAGGGCGCCATTGTAGCAGTGACTGGTGACGGAGTGAACGACTCCCCTGCACTGAAGAAGGCTGACATTGGCATTGCCATGGGCATCACTGGCTCTGATGTCTCTAAGCAGGCAGCTGACATGATCCTGCTGGATGACAACTTTGCCTCCATTGTCACGGGCGTGGAGGAGGGTAAGAAAGCAGGTTGCCCAGGGTTGGATCTTGATCCTTAGACTCTGGTGAAGGTTGATCTACATCACCTTCATTCCTTTTGCCCCTTGTCGGACCTCCATGATCCTGTACAGACTGGGAAAAGCCACCATTAGATAAAATTTTGCAAATTAGATTCAGCTGGTACTTAGACCATCCCTACCTAGAGGCCCTTTTCATGATATCTGAGAGTCCAGATTCGCTAGGGAGACTGGGACTCCAGTATAGTGTACTCTTTCTCCTCTCACTGAGATTCTGGTAGGTCTACAACAAGTTCAAAGACATAGCCATAACCTTGGGATGACTCCACATCCCCCTGGTAATCCTCAAGAAGGCCCTAGGAACCTGTTGTCTGAATGATGGTGATGTATCAAGATCAGCTGGAGCCTGATCCATGAATAGTCAGCATGAGCCGAACTAAGTGCCCTCTTTCCCCAAGATTCTGAAAAGAATACCTAGTGATGAACAGAAGAACCCCAGAGTTCTACATCCTAGGCTCCCTGCCTTCTGCTTGGAGCTATTTTTGTAAAACATGTGATGATCCACATAACAATAATGATTACCATTTTACTGAGACCTTCTATGATTCTGACACTTTGCTAGGCATTTTATATCCATTTAATTCAATAAATTCTTTTGAGTACCAACTGCGTGCCAAGCACTGTTCTAGATGCTAGGGATACAGCAGTGGAGAAAAACCCATAAAAATCATTGCCGTCGAGTTGATTCCGACTCATAGCGATCCTATAGGACAGAGTACAACTGCCCCCATAGGGTTTCCAAGGCTGTAAATCTTTATGGAAGCCAATGGCCACATCCTTCTCCCTCAGAGTGGCTGGTGGGTTTGAACCACCAACCTTTCATTTAGCCGTCGAGTGCTTTAACCACCACACCACCAAGGCTCAGGAGACATAACTCCCTGCCCTCATGGGACTTAATTTCTAGCGGAGAGAGACAGACAATAAAATAAGCAAATTGCATTTTATGTTAAAGGAAGATAAGTGCTATAGAAAAAGAAAGCAGGGAGTACAGGGAGGGATTCCAGTTTTTGAGGGGGTAGTCAGGGGGAGTCAGAAAATAGAATTCAAACCTTTGTCTGTCTCAAGCCCAGGTTCTTTCACTTCTACCTTATGCTTCTAAAAGTTTTTATACTGGCATTCTCAGACATCTCCAAGTGTTAACCAGACCCAACCCTGCTCAATTGTCAGAGATCAGATAACATCAGCCATGTTGGATCCAAGAACAAAGAGTACACAGACAATGGCATGTTAATAAGCCATGGTTCCAATTAATAATCACAGAATTTAGAAATAAAACAAGACAGCTGAGATCTAGGACCTCCAAACCCTTTCATGGACCATAACACTGTTTTGTAGTGGTCTGTCTGTCCAGGAGCCGAGTTGTGGGATGTGTGTCCTCACTGGGCTCCTCATGGAAGGCTCCTCACCACCTTCCCCAGGCCGCCTCATCTTTGACAACCTGAAGAAATCCATTGCGTACACCCTGACCAGCAACATCCCTGAGATCACCCCCTTCCTGCTCTTCATCCTCCTCAGTATACCTCTGCCTCTGGGGACCATCACCATTCTCTGCATTGACCTAGGCACTGACATGGTGAGTACCAAAGCTGGGGCCCAGTCCATGGACCACCTGTGAGGTGGTCTGAGGAGTAAGAGAAATTTGAGTGAAGCAAGAGCTCAAGTTATTTTTAAATTGTATTTAACTGTGGTAAAATATAGATATATACTGTGGGAATGGATTAGGGTAATGGTTGAGCAACATGATGAACATAATCAATGCCACTAAACTAAAAGTGTGGAAATAAAAAATATATACACAAAACCTAAAATTTAACCATTTTTGAGTGTATCTTTCAATGGCATTAATTACATTCACAATGCTGTGCAACCTTCATCACCAAGTTACTTTTTTAAAAATAATTTATTTTATTTTTATTGTTGATGGTGATATACACAGCAGAACATACATCAATTCAACAATTTCAACATGTACATTTCAGTGACATTGATTATATTCTTTGAGTTGTGCAACCATTCTCACCCTCCGTTTCTGAGTTGTTCCTCCCCCATTAAAATAAACTCACGGCCCCTAAGTTTCCTATCTAATCTTTCAAGTTGCTGTTGTCAATTTGATCTCATATAGATAGATCTTAAAAGAGCTCAATGCTCAAGGCAGAGATTTTTTACTAGTTAAGCTAAACTACTGTTTGGTTTTGAGAAGACTTCAGGAGATACTTTTGGTTTAAGGTTTAAAGATTATCTCTGGGAAGTCGTTTCAGGAGTTCATCCAACCTCCATGGCTCCAGATAATCTGGATTCCAAGAGAATTTGAAATTCTGTTCAGCATTTTTTCCCCTTTGGATCAGGATTCTTCTATAGAATCTCTGATCAAAACATTCAGTAATGGCAGCCGGGCATCATCCAGTTCTTCCGGTCTCATAGTAAAGGAAGCAGTTGTTCATGGAGGCAATTAGTCTCACATTTCATTTCCTCCTCCTATTCCTGACCCTCCTTCTTCCTCTGTTGCTCCAGGTGAATAGAGACCAATTGTTGTACCTTGGAGGGTCAGGTTACTTTTGAGTTTCCTTCTGGACTGTATGCCCTGTTACTCCTAACCTCCATCCTCCAGGTTCCTGCTATCTCCTTGGCTTATGAGACAGCTGAAAGTGACATCATGAAGAGGGCTCCACGGGATCCAAAGTCTGATAAACTGGTGAACTACCGTCTCATCGGCATGGCCTACGGACAGATTGGTGCGGCCTGAGGGATGAGGGGTGGCAGGATTAGGGAAGATAGCTGAGTCAGTGGCTGCCCCTGCCTGGGCATCTGAGCCATCTCCGTTTGGAAGTCAGGGAGATATTTTCCTCATGAACAACAAGCTGTGCTAGGCCCTGGGAAAACAAAGCACCACTGATCTCTGCTCTGCCCTGGACTTTAGAGTCCAGTCAGGAAGTAGCAAACATACATAAAATGACAGCATCTTTCCAAGTGCCAAATAGCAAGGGTAGACAGAGCATGCTACAGGAGTACAAAGCAAGCAGGCTTACCAATTATGAAGATGGTCGAGAGGCCTTATGGACAAGACAGAACTTAAGCTGGGCATTGGATAAGAGATCTGAGACTAGTAGTTATATGAGTAGGTGTAGGGGACCCAGGGGAGATGGGGATTCCACATGGGATGGTTGGAAAAGAATGAGTAAGCCAGTTAGTTTGATGAAACCCTTAGTCCTGATAAAGGAGTAGTGGAAAATAAGGCTGTAGACAAAGGTAGCATTTGTATTGGGGCCAGCCTTAAAAGACATTTGAGAGCCATTAAAAGTCTTTGTCCTTGAGTTTTCAGGTGCAATGGAGTGCTTCAAGGAGTAGGGTGGGGCAGGGATGGACAGGGAAGAAACTGGAGACAGGGGAGATCATCCCAATAATTAGGGGAGGAAACACATAGAAAAAGCACAGATTTAGGAGTCAGACCTATGTTTGAATCCCAATTTCCCCCACTTACTAGATAATGATTGAATCCTCCCTGTGCTTCAGTTTTCCCACTTATGAAATTAGATAGTAGTTGAGAATTGTGAGGATCAATGTCCACAAGACAACTTCACAGTGCACAGCCTTATAGTTAGTAGGCAATAGTTAACATCAGCTATCCCTGTGGTCCAAACATGGGGGACAGAGGTTTGGACTAGGAGAGAAGCAAGGAGCAGATGGAAGACATGTGAGGAGAGGAGAGGAGACAATCTGATGAACGTTTGAATGTCAGAGGAAATGGAGAAGGAGTCGAGCACTCACTCAGTGGGGAGAGGGGATAGATTACCTCTAAGGTCCTTTCCAGTTTTAAGATTATATGGCTCAAAGATGACTTCCAGGACCTGCCGGGGCTGGGAGGCAGGTCCCACAGAGATGATAGGATCAGATGTTTGATGACAAGAATCTTCAGCATGGCTCATGAGACACAGGCCAACACAGCTGGAAGCAAATCCCAGCCCTCACCCCCTCTCCCTTTTGGGATCCTTCTCTGAACCAGCTTCCCCTCACCCTACCACTTACAGGGATGATCCAGGCTCTGGCTGGATTCTTTACCTACTTTGTGATCCTGGCCGAAAACGGTTTTAAGCCTTTGAATCTGCTAGGCATCCGCCTCAACTGGGAAGATCAATACTTGAATGACCTGGAGGACAGCTATGGACAGCAGTGGGTGAGTAGAAGAGGTAGAGTAGTAGATAGTGATCAATAAGAATGAGGAAACGACAGGAAAGAGCAGGGTTAGCGAATCGTTGAAGAAGAGTGGGAGAATGAAGGCACTGGGCAGGTAGAATTGAAATCTCATCTATATTAGCACTTAACATTTGGCCTCAGTCTCCAATCACATCAGCAAATAGTTTCTCTTTGTTTACAATGACCTCATTTTATTTCACTTCTGCTGCCTGTTATCTGTCCTTACCTTCCTGGATCTTTCAGCTCCCTGGGACCTGCAGGTCTTCCTTGTCATCTGAACTTCTCTGGGCTGATTTCTAGTCTTCCAGGCTCTGACCATGGATTGCCCCTGAAATGAGTGCTGGATATCCTCTCTTCTGTTCTGCTCTCTTCCTCTGTGACAGTTCAAATAATGGAATTTCAAATATGTGCAGAGTATAACTGTGCTCCATAAGGTTATTAAGGCTGTGACCTTTTGTAAGTAGACCCCCAGGCCTTTCTTCCAAGGCTCCTCTGGGTGGGTTTGAATCACCAACTTTTTAAGTTTAGTAACACTTGACGAATTGCACCACCCAGGGACTCCTTAAATCTGAAAATCTACTTTGTATATAACCCTCATCATCATTCAAAACCTTTTAAAGCATGGAGGATGCCTCTCTAACATCCAAGATGAAAGAGGCCCAAACTGAAAGCCTCCCCAACAATATGTTCAAGAATTTTACTAAGTTATTTTTTCTATCTGTGAACACTCCTGTCCCAATTTAAGACAGTGGAAGATGTGCCACCAATTATTGACAGAATTATAGAATCATAGAGGACACGTAGTTCATTATCACCATTCTATTAAGGAGGAAACTGAGTCCAGAAAAGGTTAATGACTTGCTCCAAGTCCCACAGTGAATCCCTAAAAAGGCCAGACTAGGATTCAGTACTTTTGATTCTTGGCCAGCACTTCTCCACTTCACCAGGGTGCCTCCAAACCAGGCTAACTGCAGATTTCTCAAAAGTACATTGAAATCTGAGATGTGGGGAAGAGGCCCTGAAACGCTGTGCTTGCATTAGCTGCGGCCCTGAGGCCATCATATGTGGGTGCTCCAAGGGCCAATGGTGCCCACAGTCCTCATTGCTGGGCACCCTGCCAGCATCTCGTCAACCATCAACTCAGGCCCTTGTTAGTTTTACATCCTGATGCCGCCTCCCGACTGTCAAGATGCAGCATGCACGACATCTACTTATTTATAAATTAAAGGTAAATAAAATTAATTTGAGGTAACAAGAATTTCCCTTGTACACCAAAGACACCTTGAGGTATTGCAAAACAGGGATGGAGAACAGTTGTCTTAAGGAATATACTCCATAAAGGCAGGGTCTGTCTCTTCCACCTACTGTAATTCTCAGTTTAATATGGAGCTGTCCATCCAGGAAGGATTGTATATGCTGCCAGAAACAAGGATACCTTCTTACTTTCTAAATCTCTCTCACCATTAAGTCCATTCATCACCACTCATTTAGTCATTCAACAAATATTTATTGAGCATGTTCTACGTAATCTGTTGCCGTTGAGTTGATTCCAACTCATAGTGACCCTATAGGACAGAGTAGAACTGCCCCCATAGGGTGTCCAAGGAGCGGTTGGTGGATTCAAACTGCCTAACTTTTGGTTAGCAGCTGAACACTTAACCACTGCACCACCAGGACTCCCTATTCTAGGCCCTGGGGACATGGTAGTGAACAGAAAGACCAAGTCACTACTCTCATGGAGCTTATATTCTAGTTGGGGGTGGGGATTAGGGAAAGAGACAGGTGATAAATATATAACATATTGGGTAATGGTAAATGCTAAGAAGACAAAGCAAGGTAAGGGGAAATAGCACAGCAGGGGTGTGGGTGCTGTAGTGAGTTGAGGGAGTTCAGAGCTGATCAAGGAAAAAGATATGACCAGGAGATAGCAGCTTTGCACAATAAGTTGTTTAGTGGGATCGATGCATTGACATTCTCACCTCAATTCAGGAGGTCCCCCACAGCAGGAAATCTTCCAGAGGCAAGTGGCACAGGGAGCCATCAGAGGGGAAGAGGAGAAGGGAGGGGGTTGTGTGGACCTTTCCGATGTCCTCTTGCAGTCAGGTGGGCAGTCTCGGGATCAGAAGGACATCAGCACTTAGGGCCCTTGTAAATACAGGGTTTATTTATGGCTAGCAGGTGTTGGGCAATTGTGTGCAAGTAAGCTTTAAGTAGCTAAATATCTGTTTATTGGGGGCTATTTTCAAAACAATTGAATGTGTACAAATTTAAGTTTGTTACCAGTGAGCTTTTTTTGAGCTAACAGGCTGTTATGGGTTGAATTGTGTCCCCCGAAAATGTGTGTCAAGTTGGCTAATCCGTGATTCCCAGTATTGTGTGATTGTCCACCATTTTGTCATCTAATGTGGTTTTCCTATGTGTTGTAAATCCTACTTCTATTATGTTAATGAGGCAAGATTAGAGGCAGTTATGTTAATGAGGCAGGCTCAATCTACAAGATTAGGTTGTATCTTAAGTCAATCTCTTTTGAGATACATAAGACAGAAGGGAGCAGAGAGACAAGGGGACCTGATATCACCAAGAGACTAAAGCCAGAAGCAGAGCGCGTCCTTTGGACCCAGGTCCCTGTGCAGAGAAGCTCCTAGAGCAGAGGAAGATTGATAACAAGGACCTTCCTCCAGCACCAACACAGAGAGAAAGCCTTCTCCTGGAGCTGACCCCCTGTATTTGGACTCTTAGCCTCCTAGACTGTGAGAGAATAAACTTTTGTTTGTTGAAGCCATCCACTTGTGGTATTTCTCTTACAGCGGCACCAGATGACTAACACACAGGCCTTAGCTTGCTATGAAGAAGAAAACAACTTGGGGCCAATAAACAGAAGCCATCTTTGGCTCATTTATGTTATTGTGGTTGTGTGCTGTTGAGTTGATTCCAACTCATGGCGACCCCATGTGTTACAGAGTAGAACTGCTCTACAGGGTTTTCTTGGCTGAAGTCTTGATGGAAGAAGTTTGCCAGGCCTTTCATCCATGGTACTGCTGGGTGGGTTCGAACTGCCAACCTTTAGGTTAGTAGTCAAGTACAAACTGTTTTCGCCACCCAGGGACCTTGGCTCATTTATACAACAGTGCTATTAGAGGAAGGCCTCGCTGATGAGATGAAGGAGCAAGCCATGTGGACTTCTGGAAGAGAGTGTTCCAGGCAGAGGGAAAGGTGTACAAAGGCCCTGGTCTGGGAATTTGTTTGGTGTGTTTAAGGAGAAGTGTTTAATCTCAGTAGTGTGATTGAGCATGCTTAGCAAGCAGAAGTGTGGCAGGAGAAGCAATGGGACGTGGGGGAGCAGCAAGGTTAGACAATGTAGGGCCTTGTAGGCCAAGGTGAGTCCCTGGGTGGTCGCTATAATGTTAACCTAAGGGTTAGTGATTTGAGCTCACCCAGAGAAACTTCAAAAGAAAGGCCTGGTGATACACTTCTAAAAGATCAGCCACTGAAAACCCTATGGAGCACAGTTCTGCTCTGACACATAGGGAGTCACGATGAGTCGGAGTCAACTCAATAGCAACTGGTTTGGTTTTTGGTTTTTTAAGTTCGGGGGGGGACTCTGGATTTTATTCTAGATAAGATGGAAGTCATTCCAAGGGTTTAAATAGAGTAAGTGACATGATCTGACAGATTTTAAAAGGCTCACTATGGCTGCTGAGGGCAAGAGTGGAAGCAGGGGGACAAGGCAGAAGGCTGTTGCAATAGTCCAGGTGAGAGACAACGGTGTTTGGGGCTAAGCTAGTAGTGATGGGGCTGGAGAAAGAAAAGTAGTCAGAGTCATGATCTATTTTGAAAGCAGAGACAAAAGGATTTGCTGATGAATAAATGGCCAAAGTGAGAAAGAAAGAGGAGTCGAGTTTACTTCCTGAATAATTGACTCCATCTGTACTCTCCAACCACACCTACTCACCTGGTTTAGGCCCTCTGCACTTCTCACCTAGATTCTCCATTCCAATCTTCCCTGCCCCCAGGCCATCCTCCACACAACTGCCAGGGTGCTCCTTCTAAAATGAAAATCTGATCACACCTCCCACTGACTTCACATTTCCCAGGGGTTACCTACAGTTTAACATGTAAGACTTTGTATAATCTGCCCCCGTAGCCTCGTCTCCCCCTCCCCCATGCTATGTGTTTGCTCAACCCACTGACATGATAAGACATATTTTCAAAAGATCACTCTGACAGCTGTCTTAAGAATAGTCAAGAGGGAGGCAAGGATGGAAGCAGGGAAGCCAGTTAGGAGACTATTGCTGTAATGCAGACAAGAGGCAGTGGTGGCTTGGACCATGACAGGAACCGTGTAGGTGGTGAGTGATGGTTGGAACCTGGAAATATTTTGAAGGTGTGACAAGAGAATTGCTGATGGATTGGATATAGGACGAGAAAAAGAAGAGCATTAGGATAACTCCAAGTCTTTGTGCTTGAGGATCTAGAAAAATGCAGTTGCCATTTATTCAAACCAGAAAGACTGGAGGGAGAGTAGGTTTGGGGAGAAAAATCAAGAGTAGGGTTTGGGACATGTTAAGTGTGAGATGCCTGCTGAACATCCAAATGGAGATCTTGAGAGGCACTTTGATAAATGAGTCTGCAGTTCAGAGGGGAGGCCTAGGTTGGAGACAGGAATTTGGGAGTCATTGGCATTTAGATGGCATTTAAAGTCATGGGGTTGGATGCCATCACCAGGGAAGTGAGTATTCCTAGAGAGGAGAAGAGGACCAAGGACGGAACCTTGAGGCTCCAACATTTAGATATCAGGGAGAAGAACGAGCAAATGACCCTGAGAAGGTGGCTGGTAGAGAAAAGTCCAGGAAAGTGTGGATTCCTGGAAGCCAAGTGAAGAATATGGATCAAGGAGAAAGGACTGATCAACTCTGTCGAATACTGCTGATTGGGGCAATAATATGAACACTGAAAGTTGACCATCAGCTCATGCAACCAGAAGGTCTTTGGTGATCTTAACATGAACAGTTTCATGGCATGATGGGAGCAAAAGTCTGACTGAAAATAGGAGAGAACTTGGAAGTAGTAAAAATAGACCACATACTAAAAGGTGTTTTACTGTAAAGTTTTTGTTTTACTGTGAAGTTGTTGTTAGCTACCCTCAAGTCCCTGACTCATGGCTACAACAGAGTGTTGTGATCCATAGTTTTCATTGGCTGATTTTTGGAAATAGGTCACCATGTCTTTTTTCCAAGTCCGTCTTAATCTGGAAGATCTACTGAGACCTGTTGGCATCATAGCAACATGTAAGCCTCCACTGACAGACGGGTGTTGGCTGAGCATAAGGTGCATTGGCCAGAATCGAACCAAGATCTCCCGCATAGAAGGCGAGACTTCTACCACTGAACCACCACTGCCCCACACCCATTCCCGCGTTTTTTGTTTTAACTGTAAAGAGGAGCAGATGATAACCATTCAGTAGAGAGGAGAAAAAATGATGCAGTAGAGAAAGGGGACAATTATTGGAGCAATGTCCTTGGGTAGGTGAGGTAGGATGGGGTCTCATGGACAAGGGGAGAAACAAGGGTCATGAATCTACAATAACAAAAGAGCAAATAGTTTATAGGCACAGATACAGGTAGGCATGAGGGAAGGCTTGTGAGCATTCTCTTGTTATTGTTTCTATCTTCTCAGTATAGGATGCAAGTTTATCAGCTGCAAATGAGAACAGAGAAGATTTGAGGCAAGAGGAGATGTGGCAGAGTAGGAGAGTGAATGGACAGGGAAATGTAATATAAATCCTGGGCAGCACTAAGGGCTTCACTTAAATGGTCATGAACTTAAAGTGAGACTAATCTGTATGGCTCTGTGTTTTCTCCAGCCACGTTTGGCTCCTGGCTGCTGGTGCAGAGTCAGTAAATAGATGGAATTAGTCAATGTGACAGAGTCCAGGGAGAGGAAGGTGTATGTAAAGGAATTATTAGAAATATGGGTCAAGGGATTTAAGTTAGATAAGAAAGGAAGTGAGGCCACAAAGAGGTTAAGGGACTGGGGAAAGTGGTCGGATCAATGGATTGGAGGTCCAAGTAGAATCTTAGAAGTGTGGGAGTTGAGATACTAGAGTGAGTAAGATAGAAGACGGTGGTTGGAAAGAGAAACAGATGCTTGAAATTACATTTTCGAGGAATTGTATGCGCCCTGGTGGCGCAGTGGTTAAAGCGATTGACTGCTAGCCAAAATGTTGGCAGTTCAAAACCACCAGCAACTCTATGACAGAAAGCTGTGGCAATCCCTTCTATAGAGATTTACAGCCTCAGAAATCCTATGGGGTCGCTATGAGTCAGAATCGACTCGATGGCAGTGGGTTTGGTTTTTTTTTGGTTGGTAGCCATCAGGAAGGACGATACCTAAAGTTTAACCATGGGAGGGAGCAGCCCAGGTAGGGAGTGGAGAAAGTTATCATTGGAGAGGACAGAAATCAAGGAACTGTGAGACCAGGGTATTGGAAGGATCAGCAGCATAGATACTGTCATTGTCATCTAGTGCTGCTATAACAGAAATACCACAAGTGGACGGCTTTAACAAAGAGAGGTTTATTCTCTCACAGTCCAGTAGGCTGTAAGCCCAAATTCAGGGCGTCAGCTCCAGGAGAAGGCTCTCTCTCTGTGTCGGCTCTGGAGGAAGGTCCTTGTGATGTATCAGTCTTCCCTTGGTCTGGGAGCACCTCAGCACAGGAACCTCAGCTCCGAAGGCTGCGCTCTGCTCTCTGCACTGCTCTCTTGGTGATGTGAGATTCCCATGTGTCTCTGCTTGTTTCTCTCTTTTATATCTCAAAAGAGATTGACTTAAAACACTATCTAATCTTGTAGACTTCATCAGTATAACTGCCACTAATCCATCTTATTACATCATAGTGATAGAGTTTACAACACATAAGGAAATCACATCAGATTACAAAATGGTACATAATCATACGATACCGAGAATCATGACCCAGCCAAGTTGACAGATATTTTTTGGGGACACAACTCAATCCATGACAGATACTTAAATCTCCAAAAACTACGACAGGAGTCGTGTTAGTGTGACAGTCAGAAGCTAAATCTTCAAGAAACGAGAGGAAGTGGCCCAGGGAAGGTAGATGACTGCAGTAAAGGACGATGGTAGCAGGATGAGCTGATGCAGAAAAAAAAGCCAATGAGTCTCATTCTATGTTGGATTCTTGGCTCATTAATTTTCAGCCTTTATTTCCTAGTCATTTAAGGCTCTATATTTTCCTCCAAATACAATTTTAACCACATCATATGAGGTTTGTTACGTGGTACCTCATTACTGTTCAGTCCTACATGTTTTCAAACATTCTTATTTGAACTATGAGTTATTTATAAACATTGCTGTTTTATTTTTTTAAAACATAGACTTTTTTTTCCAGTCTAATTTAGATGTACCTCTTCTGTGTTCCTATAGTCCTCTGTGATCTGTCCTTTATAGCTGATCTATTGAAGTCCCTGGGTGATGCACATGGTTAATGCACTCAACTGCTGACTGAAAGGTTGGCAGTTCAAGTCTACCCAGAAGCACCTCAGAAAAAAGGCATGGTGATCTACTTCTGAAAAATCAGCCATTGAAAACCCTATGGAGCACAGTTCTACTCTGACACGTATGAGGTCACCATGAGTCAGAGTCAACTTGACAGTAACTGTTTTTTTGGAGACCCTGGGTGGCACAAATGGTTAAGTGCTTGGCTACTAACCGAAAGATTAGTAGCTCAAAACCACCCAAAGTGCTTCAGAAGAAAGGCCTGGCTATCTACTTCCAAAAGATCACATTGAAAACCCTATAGAGTAAACTTAAACCAAAAATATCCTCTGAAGTCTTCTTAAAACCAAACAATTGTTTAGCTTAACTAGTAAAGATTGTCTGCCTTGATCATTATGTTCTTTTAAGATCTATCTATATGGGATCAAAGTGACAACAGCAACTTGAAAGATTAGATAGGCAACTTAGGGGGCAGTGAGTTTATCTTAATGGAGAAGAAACAACTCAGAAAAGGAGGGTGAGAATGGTTCCACAATTCGAAGAATGTAATCAATGTCACTGAAATGTACATGTAGAAACTTACATTGGTGTATAGTTTTTATTGTGTATATTCTCAACAATGACAAAAAATAAATACAAAAAATAAATTATTAAAAAAAGAAAACCCTATGGAGCACAGTTCTACTGTGAAACGCAGGGGGTCACCATGAGTCGTAATCGACTCAATGGCAACTTGTTTGCTTTTTGGTTTTATTGTACTAACACAGCATATTTATCCTCTCCTCAAGACTCAATGTTCCTCAGGTATAAAATATGAATGAATGGATTTCTCTTATTACCACCCCTTTTGGGCGTTCCTGTTTCCTCTAGCCCCACCTTCCTTTCTGACTTAGTTCCTCTGACTCCACCATGCCCTGTGATTCCACCGTCTTTCTCTGACACTATCCTTCTTAATATTCATTGAGCACATACTACATGCCATTCTCTGAAGTAAGCATGGAGACACACAATGATAAATAAGACTAGGTACTTGCCTTTGAGGAGCTCCCAGTCAAGTAAGGAAAACATATGAAGAAATCATAATGCAACATGAGAAGTACTCAAACAGAGATGTATGAAGTGCTGTGGGAGTCTAAAGAGAGAGGACCTAACTAAGCCTTGGGGATACTGGAGGACATGAGAGGGAGGAAGCCTTTGGGGTGTATCTACAGTCATTATCCTTCTGACACTGACTCCCTCTCTGCCCGCCATTCCCCAAGACCTACGAGCAGCGGAAGGTGGTGGAGTTCACGTGCCACACGGCCTTCTTTGCCAGCATCGTGGTTGTACAGTGGGCTGACCTTATCATCTGCAAGACCCGCCGCAACTCAGTCTTCCAGCAGGGCATGAAGTGAGCGCCCCACCAAAGGCCCCAACACTCTTCCCAGCCTAGACACTGGGACATGCAATCATCTCCTACCTCTTCCTTCCCGTCGCTAACACACCCATAAATGTTTCTTCCCAGAAACAAGGTCCTACTATTTGGGATCGTAGAGGAGACATCCCTGGCTGCTTTTATGTCCTACACTCCAGGCATGGACATGGCCCTGAGAATGTACCCACTCAAGTGAGTAAGGGGAGGGATGCCCATATAAGAATCCCAGGGCATATGGAAAGCATGGGAGAGGAAACGTGGGTTTGAACAAGATAGTCAGATCTGCCTGGGTAAATGAAGCTACACTCAGTGATGGAAGAAGAGGGTCATCTGCACTGTGATAAATTTATCTTATTTAGGGAGGTATTAGAGACCATAACAGGTGATCAAAACTCACAAGACATGCAAATTTAGCAGACATACCCGTGTTTAACAGAGTGGAATCTTTGATGGTGATATGTCGTGTGGTTCTCCAAGGATAAGTATTGCTTGAAGCTTCAGTAACCATAAAAATGACCTGATCTACGCGTGGATAATTCTGCTGTACTTATGCAAATATGCTTAAATGTGTGTATACGTGAGTGGAAAATGACTTGGAAGAACACATAGGAAATTGCTAACAGGCGACGTATGCAGGGTGGGGTGCTGGGAGTGGGGGTGAAGTGGAAGTTTTGCTTTCCTCTGTAAATTTTTAAATAGAATTTTTTCACAGCAAACATGTACTAATGTTAAAAAGAAAGAAAGAAAGAAGAGAAAAACCTGCAGGTTGACAAAGTAACAGACCTTGAAGAGTTCCAATGTGGTGTCTGAACTGAGATGTGCTACCAGTATAGAATGCTCACTGGATTTCAAAGACATAGGATGAAAAAAAGACTGCAGAATATCTCATTAGTAATTTTTCTATTGATTATGTTGAAAATGATGATATTTTGGGAATACTGGGTTAAAGAAAATATATTATTAAAATTAATTTCCCCTGCTTTTTTTTTTTACTTATCTTAACATGGCTACTGGAAAAATTTTAATTTCATATGTGGCTTATGCTATATTTCTGTTGCACAGCTCTGGTCTAGGCCAGCTCTTCTCTCTGTCATCTGATGGAACAAATCCATCTTCCTGGTCTCTAATTATAGAAGAGGTCCAGGAAGAAAAATGTTCCTCATCTTTGCTACAGTGAAGAGTGGATATACCCCCTAGAGAAATATTCCTGCAGTAGATGTCTGAGTAATGTCTCAGATAGTCCCATCATACTTGAACAACCTCCTCTTTGTGGGTGCAAGGTCTAGAGTACCCAGAAAGCAGAGAGGGGGTCTCCCTCATTGACTCCACAGGAATTGGTAGATAATCTCTGTGAACATGGCATACACCTCTAAATGACACTTATCCCATTATATTGTCACTGGCTGTTTTTTTTCCCCAGTGGCTGTGACCTTTCAGAAGTAGATCATCAGGCCTTCTGAGCACCTCTGAGTGAATGTGAACCACCAACCTTGTGATTAGCAGCCAAGCGCTTAATCATTTATTCCACCTAGGGATTCCTTGTCATTGGCGTTTTATTTCTCTGTCTTGTGCCTCTCCTCTCCACCCCGAGTCCCTCACCCCTCGGACTCTGACCTCCTCAAAGATAGGGATCAACTGGATGGTATTCATCTCTGTGCACACAGCCCAGCACAGTCCCCGGCACAATAAAACCCTGAGTTCCTGTGTGCTATTCTCTGCATCTTCTCTGACCTGCGTATCTCTTGCCGCAATGACCAACTCTTGCTCCCTACAGGGTAACCTGGTGGGTCTGTGCCATGCCCTACAGTCTTGTTATCTTCACCTATGATGAACTCAGAAAATTCATCCTCCGACGAAGGCCTGGCGGTGAGGTGCCCCTGAGCCCTGCTCTGACTGTTGGACCACCAGCCCCCTAACTAGCTCTCCCATTACACCTGGTTCCTCACCTCCCCACCTCACTGCCTGGTCTTTACTGTGCCGGGCCCCGGCCCTTACTCCTGACTCCACTGCCCCATTCATTCCGGTCCTCAGTGCCCTGTGTTCCAGATGCTCAGGCCTTCCTTTCCCTTCTGCTGGTCTCCCCTCGGTGCCTCCCGTGCCGCCTTCTCCCGGTTCATGCTGGTCTCTTCTTGCCCACAGGCTGGCTGGAGCAGGAGACGTACTACTGAACTTGGCGGAGGAAGAGCTGTACATGACACGGGGCCAGGGGTGGGAGCGAGGGTTAGGGATTCTGAGTTTGACACAACACCTGAGAGCGTCTCTGAGTTGGAAGCAGAGATGGATTACCTCGGATGAGAGAGGCAGGCAATCCTGGGGCTGGACTGAGAGCATCAAGGGTAGCAGATGAGGGTGGGTTAGGGCAAGTCCAGCCTGAGTCTGGCTGGAGCCCAGTGGGGAGGCGGGTTGCCCTCTGTTGAACCTAGTAGCCAGTCTGGAGAGTAAATGTTTGGTACCAGCTCTCACCTGGCTGGATGTGTCACATCTGATCTGGGGGGAGTGAAGGAGCCCTGGTGGCAGAGTGGTTAAGCGCTCAGCTGCTAACCAAAAGGTTGGCAGTTCGAACCCACCAGCCGCTCTGTGGGAGAAGGATGTGGCAGTCTGCTTCCATAAAGATTACAGCTTTGGAAACCCTGTGGAGCAGTTCTACCCTGTCCTGTAGTGGTGCTATGAGTTGGAATTGACTCTACAGCAATGGGTTTAGTTTGGGACTTTGGGGGATGATTACTGTGAGGCTCTCTCCCTCGATCTTCATGGTAACTAAGCCAGGCAAGTCTTTTAAGGGACCACAGTCAAGGCTGGGAGGGGAGCAGAGTCAAGCATCTTTGTCCCTTGAGAGCTATCCTCCACCTTAAACTCACTCTCAGCTCCTTGGAGAACAAGGGCAGAACAAGTGACTGCCCCCAATGACAAACTAGGATCAGAGGAATGAAAGGATGAGGAGAAGAACAGCTGAGCCCAGCCTTACAGACAGGGGCCACAGTACCCACCTTGGAGTGGGGAGGGTGGGATCATGTAGCCCCTGCCTAGGATTTCTCAGATCAGCTTGTAGATTCATAGTGTCTTAGTGCTAGAAGAGACCTATTGCATAGACAAAAGAGCCTGAGGCCCCGACAGGTTCCAGTGACTTGGGAATATTATGGTGAATGGTGAATGTACGACCAGAGCTTGTCCTCTGAAGAAGGGAATGGGCACAGGGGAAGGACTCTAGGAAGACTATGGTGCCCAGCCCTCTATCTTTGGTCAGCTGGGCCTCTAAACCCTATCCCAACCCTCGGCTCGTTTTCTCTGGTTTCACCTAAAATAAAAGCTGTAACAACACTTTCTGAGTTCCTGTAGCCTTTACTTTAGGTGAAGCACCCACCCCTCTGCCCCCAGGCTCCTAGGGGTGATTGACATTCCCAAGAGCTTGGTCTTGAGCCTGGGCTCCAGCATCTGCTGTGCCTCTTCTCCCAAGAGTGAGTTGTGCGAGAGGAGGCTCCCACTCCTGCTCACCCTACATGTAGGAGGTTCTTCCTTCTCCTCCATCCCCTCGCTCACTTTGCCCTGTGAGTCAGTTCATTCTCAGGCCTCTTAGAGCAGAAGCTTGGCTGTGCACAAAAGCATACAGAGCCAGAGGGGAATACTAAGGGAAGTTGGGGAGGGTGCGGGGTTTGTAGGCTGTTACAAAGAACAAAACACATGTACTAAGTGGCTGCTTACTATGCCTGGCAATGGGACAAGGGCTTTGCACATCATCAATTTATTCACAACAAATGTATTTTCACCACCTCACCGCATTTTATAGATGAGGAAACTTAAGTCTATCTCATTCCAGAACTTGAGCCCTTAACCACAATGCAGAGTAGTCTTGGAATGAAGGCTGGGCCAAAAAAACCCCCACAAAACCAAAACCCTAATATTGATGGAGGAAGAGCCATGGATGGTTCCGGAGGATGAGAGGCCATAGGTTAGCCAAGAAAAGCCAGAATAAGGTCTAGCCAGCCATTCTACAGGCCTCTCCTCAGAGGTCTCTCTCCTTCCCATTCCCCTCACTCTTCCAACACGAGGTCTCCTAGGACAGGGCTATATCAGTCTGGGGTCCCTCCCCAGTGCTGCTGACACAGCTAAACCAGAACCCTAGGAGGTTGAGGGGCCAGGATGTGTGTGAGTGAGGTGGGGAGGGGGAGAGTGGAAGGGCCAGCTCCTCGGGTTTCAGTAGCAAGAGCTTTGGGTGTCAGGTGGGTTAAAAATACAGAGGCCCCAACTCAGGGTCATTTGATACCAGTGGCTGAGGCTTGTTAAGTCCAAAGGCCTGAAGTCAGGGGCTTAGAGGGAAGGGGATTGAGTAGAAAGTGGAGAGCAGAGCATCAGAGAGAGAAAGAGAGGGAGATAGGGAGTGGGGGTGTGAGGGGGTGCAGGTGCTGGAAGGGGCAAGTGTGGAACTGGAGTGCCAGAGGGGGCAAGGAGGGGGCACAGAAGGAGGATGAAAAGGTTCTGGTTGGGGAGAATCACTGGACTGCTACCCACTGCAGGAGGGGACTAGGGAATAATGGAGCAGGCCCAAGTCACCATTTAGTCCCATCTCACACCCGTGAGGGTACAGAAGGTCAGTTTCATGTTGGAAAAAGTATAGTATTCCAATGTCTGTGTCCAATGTTCTCCCTCCTTCAGAGTGCAGCAGAAGTGAGAAATCGGGGCTGAGTGTCATCTAGGTCATCTACTGCTGGGTGGCCTGCCCACCTCTCCCATCTGTCTTCATGCTGGTCGGGGGGCTTGGGGCACATTGCCAATGCCCGTGAGGCCAGGAGATGGGATTTTGAGGTCTCTTCAGTGCTAACATGGAGCCCTGGTGGTGCAGTGGTTAAGAGTTTGGTTGCTAACCAAAAGGTCAGCAGTTTGAATCTACCAGCCGCTCCTTGGAAACCCTATGGAGCAGTTCTACTCTGTCCTACAGGGTCACTATGAGTCAGAGTCGACTTGACGGCAATGGTTTTTTTTTTTTTTTTGGTCAGTGGTAACATGCACGGCTTTAGGTAGAGCTCTGGCTTTCCCTGTGATAGTGACAGCTGTCCCTCTTGGACCCACTCCTGCTATGTTGCTGAAATAGCCTGTGGCCTTCCTTGCTCAGTCGTTCTGAGGTCCACGTCACAGGAGTGTGCAAAAGCTATGTCTCTGTCTAACAGAACCTCATGTCCCTACATGGTGCAAAATGGACATTGTCCCTCCAGAACCAGAGATGCCTAGGGTAGGGATGTCGGCCTCTCCATGGTCTCCCTCCTGCCTCAGTTTACTTGAAGGGCCTTGCAGGGTACCCAGAGTTGAACTCATTGACCCTTCCCTCACCTCCAAACTAGGATCCAAGAGGTTAGAGTCCACCTCACCCAGCCCCAACTCCTCTTTGGACCTCAGGTGCACAGAATTAATCAATTCTTGTGTTGGTTCATGGCACAAGGCCCACCTCTTCCTGTTCTCCCAGGGCTAACTTCTTCCTAGTGTTTATGCATGATCCTCTCGGTCTTTTCAAAGGGGTAGGCATGAATAGTAGCAATTCCCTGTCCTTGGAATTCACACCCTGGGGAGTTCTCCCTCCCCACTGGCCTTCAGAGTTTACTCTAGAACATGGAACCCAAGCTGTGGCAGCAGTAAAATGACTCTCCCCAGAGCCATGCTCCTCTCATCTTGGGCCTTCGGGCAGAGAACCCCTACATCTGCATCTCTACAGCATGGGATCTGGTCCAGCAGGCCTCATGCCACACCCAGTCCTTCCCCTGCATTCCTGAGGTGGGAGTGTTGAATGAAGAAAAGGAAACTGGCTGGAGCTGAGCCAGGTCACCAGCCCTGGACACAGTTCCGTCTCTTATTCAGAGAGTCTCTGTCCTGCAGCCTGGATTGCACTTGTATTGTCCTCCTCCCTTCCACATGATCAAAGAAGCCAACTTCACCTAGAAGAGACTCACAGGTCCCTAGGACCTGGAGCCAACACCCTAGTTGTCCCCCTTTTGTCCTCTATTATCAATTTAACCTCTGACCCACAATGCCTCCTCTCCACCTCCATTTTCTTGTCTCTCATTACATTTGCTCTACCCTCCACTCTCCCTAATTACCCCCATACCTCCCCTCCCCCAGCCCCAGCTTCATTTACCTCCGACTCATCTCGTCATATTTTTAGCTCAGGCGTCTCTCCCTTTTCCTTTCTTAATATGGCGATAAGCTCACAGGCCAGCATGGGGACAGGGGCTGAGGAGCCCTGGATGGTGGCGGAGGGGGAGGGAAGGAACCGCAGGGAGCCTGGGTGAGAGGTGTCGCAGGTGGGAGGACTCGGGCCCTCATGGTGCTGTCCTGGCCTCAGAAGGTTATCCATCTCTCCTGCCAACCATGGAGACATATTTAGACAGGACCAGGCAGGGGCCAAGAGATGCCAATTTCAGGGGCAGGTCGGGTTCCCTCCCCGCCCCCTCCTTCTATTCCTCCTCCTCACCCTTTTCTCTTGGCTCTGTCGGCAGTTTCTCCAGGACCCAGCAGTGTTCTCTGTCCACTGCTCTGGGCCATTCCCCACCCCGCCCCCACCTTGAGCCCTTTACCTCAGGATTCAGGACCTAGAGGCCCCTCCCCACCCCAGCTAACCTCCTTCTGGACCAGGAGAGCTGACCCAGAGCCCACTACCTCCATGAGCGCAACAGACAGGATGGGGGCCAGAGTGGTGCCGGGTCTGCAGCTGGCACTGCTGCTACTGCTAGTGCTAGGGATACCCCAGTCAGGGGTTCAGGGGGAGGAAGGGCTGGACTTCCCCCAGTATGATGGTGTGGACCGTGTGATCAATGTCAACGCAAAGAACTACAAGAATGTGTTCAAGAAGTATGAGGTGCTGGCGCTGCTCTATCATGAGCCCCCTGAGGATGACAAAGCCTCACAAAGGCAGTTTGAGATGGAGGAGCTGATCCTGGAGGTGAGTGGTGGGGCCTGAAGAGCACCCCTGGCCCGTCTCCATGGGCCCCCATCCTACAGCCCCATGTAGATCTCTAAGGGTGGGATCCAGGGGCGAGGGTCAGTGCCATAGGATCTGTCTTGACCGACAGGATACAGTGGCATGAGGCCTTAGCCAAATGACAGCAGAGACTCGGGAACCCCAAAGTACCACCATAGGTAGGCAATTGCAGGGCTGCAGGGGGCTCTCTCCTCCATGTCGCAGGAGTCTGGGAGTGCTACGACTGGGGTGTCCTTGGCAGAGGAGCAAATGAAAAGGGAGGCACTCAGGGGAAGGGGGAAAGCTGCAGTGCGATGCATGGAGCTCCCCCACCCCACCAACCTACTCTCCCAGCCAGAACATGCCCTCTCTTCATACACATTAGGGGCTGCACCCCAAAGAGATCCAAACTGAGTATCAATTTAAATATTACTGATCTTATTTGCATGCCACTTATTTAATGGCTAAATGTTTAAATATCTCCTAGATACCACCATGCCTCCTGGCGCCCTTCCAGTGCCCTCTCTCTTCCTCCCCTACTTTCATTCCCCATCAGTCCTTATTGGACCAAATTGGATGCCCAGATTGGAAAATGCTTGTGGTTGACGGAGGCTTCTGAATGCCTTTCCCATGAAGTCTCCACAAGCTGACTTCATGCTCAAAGGAAAGAGAAGGAAAAGCCCGTGTGTGGGGGACCATGGGGAGATGTAATCCCGCACACTCTCTAAGGCTGGGAATGTGTCTGTCTTAAGTGTGCTTGTCCGGGCCTCCATGACCCCTTCTCCAGCTTTGTGGTGCAGAGAGGCCTCAGCCCGTCCAGAGGCTGGAGCATTTCAGGGCGAGGCACCAGGGCTTCAGGGCTCACCTTCTTGGGTGTCCCTGTCCCCTGCTGGAGGCTGATTAATGAGCCGAGTATTTTTATCCTGAGTGCTCAGCATCCCAGGCCATTTACCTGCCAACCACCCTGCTCCCCTCTCCCTGAGAATCACAGTGTAGGGTAAAGCTGGAAGCTGAGCCCAAGGCAGAGTGAATCAGGGTGGAGGCCAAGCTGGAGGCTTATGGGGACAGCAATCTAGGGGTGTGGCTGCTATAGCCTGAGGACAGGCTGAGTGGAGAGTGAAGGGGGGCAGACCTGGATGAAAAGAGCTGGGCCTGAGTCACCTTTCCTCTCTGGGGGAGGGGTGACAGAGTGGGAGATATGGGGAAACTCTGCCCTTCCAGCAATCTGGCTTTCCCCAGTCCTCAGGGCATGACCAGATCCCCATCATGTTCCCTCCATCCTCCTTACACCACTGCCTTAGCCTCCTGCTCTCCACAACTCCTCCTACTGGGAGTCACTCTGCTAATGTCACTCCCACCCTGAGCATGGCCTTGATCAGGATGGCATGGAAGGCCCAGCCCTCAGGAGCAGGCTCCGTCACTCTGAAGCAACATAATAAGCACACTGTGAACAAGCAGTAAATCATCAAGAATTCAAATGGAACTAAAGACCAACAGGGTGGGGTTGTAGGGAAACGGAATATTTTGGATCCTAGCATAGGGTCAAGGTCCACTCTAGTATTCGCTACACCCGAGATGACCCAGTTTGAAAGCATGAGGAATAGGGGTTAGTATGAATTCCAGGGGTTAATCTTAACCCCAACCCCTCCTTCCAGTTAGCAGCCCAAGTCCTAGAAGACAAGGGTGTTGGCTTCGGGCTGGTGGACTCTGAGAAGGATGCAGCTGTGGCCAAGAAACTAGGTAAGCGGGTGGGAGGGGCAGGAAGGGGAAGGTAGTGTGTGAGACTGGGGGACCTAGCGTAGATGACTGGGTAGGCAGCCCATGGGAGCTGAGGGGCTGGGGAAGTCCACCATGCCTATTCTGAAAGGCAGAACTCAAAATTTGAGATTGGGGGGGGTGGTTATGCCTGGGGGTCCCATCCTCTATTTCTTACAGAGTTCCATGTGCAAATTCCAGAGAGGGGTCAGGTTGGCCACTTTTTAAACACAAAAATGTATCTTAGATGCTGGAGTGGAGGGGAAGGGGTACCAGGAAGTACAGTGCCCCTCTTCCAACCCCTCCCCCTCCAGAGCTGAGACCAGGGGTTATAGCACCTGGCCACCGGGAGGCAGCACAGACTTGAGCCTAAACTCCAGATATGGATGGGGGAGGGGCATGGTCAGCAAAAATGAAGTCATCTAGTCAGTAATAACCCATTGCTGTTGAGTCCATTCCAACTCATAGATACAATAATAGCAAGGGGTTAAAGGGCTGGACTGGGAGTCGGCTACTTGAGTCCTCAGAAGAGGTAGCCTGAATATTCGTCTACAGTTAACACAGGGAGAGAAAGGAAGAAATACTGCTGGAATCTCTACCTCCTGGTTCCCCCATAAAGCGAGCATCTTGGCCTAAATCCAGGGCATGACATCAGGGGTGTAGAGGCTAAGGGGCAGTGGAAGTGAGTGGGGCAGGACAAAGGAGAGCAGAGGATGTGGGCTTGAGTCGGATGGTTGAATGAGGAGCAACCTGGAATTTGGACCCTTAGATCTGTGGGAAGCTTGGGATCTTGGCTCACCTCTGGCTCACTCCCTAGGATTAATTGAAGAAGACAGCATTTATGTGTTCAAAGGAGATGAAGTCATTGAGTATGATGGCGAGTTTTCTGCTGACACCCTGGTGGAGTTTTTGCTTGACGTGAGAATTCTCCTGGATCTGATGGCTTGCTTTGACTTCTCGCGCGTCCCCCGATAAAACCCAACACACACACACATATAATTTGTCAACATCCAACCCTCTTCTCCCTAAACGCCTCTTTCTGGTTCTCCCAGTAAGGATAGAAACTCACTCTCTTCCTTCAATGTCCTTACTCTTCCAGGTCCTAGAGGATCCTGTGGAGTTAATTGAGGGTGAAAAAGAGCTGCAGGCGTTTGAGAATATCGAGGATGAGAACAAACTCATTGGCTACTTCAAGAACAAAGACTCAGAGCGTGGGTAACCCTCAAACTCCTCTGTATCCCTGCCTGAATCCCCAGTTTCATCTCTCCTTCCACGTCTCCACTTCACCACTATCTCTGCAGCTCTATCTCCTAACTCCCTGCATCACTTCTCCCTACCCTGGTCACCTCCACCAACTGATCACATCCCCCTGCACTCTGGGTGTTTCCCAGACACACACCCCCATCATCCTACCTTCCCCCTACTGCAGCCCTCTCAGTTGAAAGGCGCGGCTTCTCGAGATGAAATTCTCCTCACCCCCAGCCCCAGGTCTCCTTACCCACTCAATGCTTTCAAAGAAGAATTGGAAAGAGGCAGATCGGGGATGATTCCCTGGCAGACCCTGGTTCCCCAAAGACTGACTCTGTATCCCCTCTCAGATTTCAAAGCCTATGAGGACGCAGCGGAGGAGTTTCATCCCTACATCCCCTTCTTCGCCACCTTCGACAGCAAGGTTCTCCAGTTGTGGCTCTGTTGGGTCTCCCTCACTCCCCTGTGCTGCCCTCCAGCCTCCACTCCCAGAATCTATGGGGGATCTGCCCTTCCCACAAGCCAGCACTCTCCCAGTACGCCAGGCCCTTCCTGCCTCATAGAGCTTAGAGCTGAAAGGGGCTTTAGATTATCTAACCCACCTCTCTCATGTTGAACTGAAGCCCAGAGAAGCTAAGAAACTTGCCCAATGTCACAGTGACAATGACAAGACTAGGACCCAGTTCCCCAACTCCCTTCCTAGCATGTGTTCTCCTGTAAATACTGCTTCTCAGCTTGCTCCTGCGTTCCCCCCCACAACTCCTCCCTGCCCCCCAACCCTGAAGGTGGCAAAGAAGCTGACCCTGAAGATGAACGAGATAGACTTCTATGAGGCCTTCATGGAAGAGCCTGTGACCATCCCAGACAAGCCCAATACTGAAGAGGAGATTGTCAGCTTCGTGGTGAAGCACAGGAGGTGGGGTTCTAGGGCACTCCTCTGACTGGGGTCTGCTCCTTCTTGGGCTAGAAAGCCCATCTGTGACATAGGCTCGGGGACACTCAGCCCACCAGGCAGCTGGTCCCGCTCAGAGATAAATGTGCTTCTGGGGAGCAGTGCTCCTTGATACACTGATAATTTTTGTAGAATAGTCTACAGCCCAGTACTTAGCCCCGAGCCATGTACAGAGGAAATCCTCCTTCAATGTGCATTGTTCATTGTGATGTCGTGATTTACACCACGAAGTCAGCACATGAGTGCTTTCTGTCTCTATTATTATATTTAATCCTTTTAACAACCTCAGTTACAGAGGTTCCACAGGTCATGACAGAACTGGGATTCTAACCCAGATCTGTCCCATGTTTGTCCTAATACATTACCCTATACAGCTGATCCTCAATGGGGGAAAGGAGGAGAGAGATTTTGCCCTTCAGGGGACATTTGGCAATCGATGTCTGGAAACATTTTCTGTTGGGGGGCGGGGTGCTACTGGCATCTCATGAGTAGAGGCCAAGGATGCTGCTAAACATCCTGCAAGGCACAGGACAGCCCCCACAACAAAAAATTCTCCAGCTCAAAATGTCAATAGTGCCAAGGTTGGGAAATCCTGTTCTACACACACACACACACACACACACACACACACACACTTCTCTTGCTTCACAGTACTCCACAACTGGGGATGGCCATTCATCAGTGTCAACACTACTTACTCGCATTCTCTCCCACTAGATTATGGTCCCCTTCGTCTGGCAGAGCCCATGTTTGCCTTGTTCAGCTCTACATTCACAGCATCTAGCACAGTGCTTAGAGCATATCAGGCACTCAATTTTATTGAATAAGCGACTGAATAAATAAATCAATGAACCCATATGTCCAGTTCTCTCTCACCGTTCTCCCAAATACTCTCTTCCAGTCCTCTTTGCCCAACTTCCCCTCTCCCACTTGCTTTCATATGCAATGATTCGGGCCTGGTGCCCAGAGCTTAGACTTTGTCATTTGGCTTTGTTCTGGGCTGCAAGCTCTCTGTGTCCCGGGCATGACCCAGAGGCAGCCTCTGCCACAGGGAACCTCTGGAGGGGGCTGTCCTTCTCACCCACCCAGTTGTTGTTGTTATGTGCCTTGGAGTCATTCTTGATTCATAGCGACCCCATGTGACAGAGTAGAACTGCTCCGTAGGATTTTCTTGGCTGGAATGTACGGAAACAGACTGCCAAGTCTTTCTCCCACAGAACCACTGGGTAGGTTTGAACCACCAACCTTTCAGATAGCATTCAAGTGCTTAATGGTTTGCACACCAGGGCTCCTTACCCACTAAATAGTGACCTGCTATCCATCTCTTCTAGATCAACCCTGAGGAAACTGAAGCCTGAGAGTATGTATGAGACCTGGGTGAGTGCCTCTGGCCAGGGCCAGGCCCTCAGGGAGCATGGGTTGTGGAAGACTCAAGTCCTAGAAACATCCCACCTTCTGCTCCTCACACCCCGCTTCTAGAAAAGACAGTGCACCAGCAAAGGCTGAAGGTTTTCTGTTCTGAAGAACACATCAGGAATTGGGAGGCAGACATAAGTGGATGAAGATGACAAGGGAAGCACCCCAAGCACTGGGGCTAAAGGGAGTTCCAGAGGAGTTGTGGGGGCCCTGGAGCTGAAAGGGGCAGTGTCACTTGGAAAAGGGTCACCACCACAAAAATATACCTGGGCAGAAGCTGGGTTTCCACAAAATTCAGGTTCAAGGAAGGTCTAGGGTCTGTTCTGTACTCTCCAACTTCAGGGAGTATAGCTGACCCTCCCCCTGCCCCCACAATAGGAGGATGATCTGAATGGAATCCACATTGTGGCCTTTGCAGAGGAAGCTGATCCTGGTGAGGGAAGAATACTGGACTGGATTGGATAGGGGATGGGCAGTAGTGGTGGGAAAGAGATGGGTGTGCCTGTTGGAGCAGAGTCTGCATGCATCCTGGGGCTGAAGATAGGGTGTTTTGGGAGGCAGGGAAATAGATCTCGACTCCTTTTTCCTCTGTGCCTCATTCCTCCCCGCATCTTCCTCATGCTTCTCACTTGTTTTCCCTCCAAGATGGCTTTGAGTTCTTAGAGACACTGAAGTCTGTGGCCCAAGAGAACACTGACAACCCTGATCTTAGCGTCATCTGGATTGACCCTGATGACTTCCCCCTGGTAAGAGGTTAACAACCTGGTCACATACAGCTACCCTCAGGTGGGGCCTCAGACTGGGGCATCTTCTGAGGAGGAGTTTGTTTCTGAGCCCCTACCCCCATCTCCTATCTGGGGGCCCTGGGAGGTTATGCCTGTTGCACGCTTAAGGGCACTGTGGTCATTGAGGTAATCTGGGATGGAGGAAACAGGCATAAAAGGGAGTTGCTTGGGATAAAACACATGGTTCCCAGAGCAGAGGCTGGGCAGGTACCTCATTGCCCCAGGGCTGACTCCTTCTAGAGAAAACCAGAGTTCTGGTGAGCAGATGGGCATGTTAACTCTGCACATGAGTAGACACACTCTATCTTAAAAGATTTCATGTCTCAGGGGATGGTTTTATTCCCAGCTGAATCTCCAACACTTAGCACTCATTGTTGAAGGAGTAACTTAATGAATAAACAGAAATGTGAGGAACATGAGCAATCACCAGGCATATCCACCTCATTTTAGAGATGTAGAAAGTGAGGGTCAGCGAGAACTGACTTGCCCAAGATCCCAAGGTCAGTTAACAGCAGATCCAGGATCTGAACGGCATTTCCTATTTAGTTTTCCTCAGGAAGGAGGGGCCAGCGTCCCTTTCTGACACTTTCCCTTTGGAATTTCTACTCTTTTTCTGCTCAACTCTACCCATTCTCTTCAGGACCTACAGCTGGACTCACTCTTATCCACTGCGGATTCATAATATCCTCTCTTTATCCCTGGGCTGACCCTCACACTCACCTCCTTGGATTTAATGGCTCCTAGACTCCATTAAGTTGTCATATTTGGGTCTCTCTACAGCTGGTCCCATACTGGGAGAAGACGTTTGACATCGACTTGTCAGCTCCACAAATAGGAGTTGTCAACGTCACTGACGTGAGTTTTCTTCCTTCACCCCCTATCGGCCCCCAACTCTGTTTCCCAGCATAGCTAGCTCTCCTCTGCTCTGCTAAGTAGGGTTTTAGTCCTTCCCAGAGGAAGTAGGCATGCCCAGTCTAATGGCTGGATAGAAGGGAAGATTCATGACCTGAACACTCCTTACTCCTTTTGGAACCTGTGGCTCATCCTTCAGCGCCCAGTTCAGATCTTCTCCTCTCCATGAAGTCTTTCCAGATCTTCCTTTTGGAGTCATTCCTTTCTTGGCACTCCCAGAGTCCACTGGCATCTAGAACATGACTTTTATATGGCTATTTATGTATCAGGTCTGTCTCTCCCAGTAGACTTTGAGCTCTTTGAGGGCAGAAATCTCATGCACACATAGTAGGTGCTTCAAAAATGTTTGAGTTGAATAAGCCACAGTCTTTGCTTTCAAAGAACTCTCGGTCTTAACTGGGGAGGCAGAAGTGGATCCTATTAACTACAATACAAGGCCAGATCTGTATAATAAAGGTGTAAATAAAATGCTAGGAAAACACAGAGGAGAGAAAAGCGATTTCTGCTTCAGAAAACCAGAGAAGGGTTTAAGAGGAAGTAGCATTTAAATTGCGTTTCAACAAGTGAAGAGTAAGCAGAGTTACTTCCAAACTAAGCCAGGGCAAAGGTTTAAAAGTAGGAAAGTGAATATCAGGTTCAGGAAACAGCAAATCATTTTGTGTGGCTTTAGAGTCTAGGGATCACTGAGGATGGTCCTGGAAAAGCAGGTTATGGAAAGCCTTGAATGCTGAAGAGTTGCTGATTGTATTCTATAGGCCACGAAGAGCGGCCAGTGGTTTTGCATCAAGGGCATGATAGACAGGTCTGTTTTAGGAAGCTCAGTATGGCAAGAGTATGGATGAAAGATTGCAGGGAAAAGGTCTCTTTGTCAATCCATTCTTTCTTTCCATTCACTCCCACTGTCACTATTCTAACCTAGACCATCACTTGGACTGCTTCCTTGGCCACTAACAGAAGGGAAGTGACATGTGACGGGGATGCAGGGGAAGGATATACAGTCCAGTGAGTGGGAGGACATATCCAAAGACCCAAGCCGGGCTTACCTTCTGGCCCCTGTCCATGCTATCTCCTAGGCGGATAGCATATGGATGGAGATGGACAACGAGGAGGACCTGCCTTCTGCTGAGGAGCTGGAGGACTGGCTGGAGGACGTGCTGGAGGGCGAGATCAACACAGAGGATGATGATGAGGAGGACGACGATGATGATGATGATGACTAGTTAGCTGTGGCAACCGTCTTCCAGCTCCAACTGATCTTCTCATGCTCCCTTCTGCCTTCCCTGTCCTTCTTTGAGCTCCTCCAGGGACACTAGGCCATTCTCTGTCATAGAGCCCATTGGGGTCTATATGCTGGTGCTGAGACCCTGGTCCCCCTCATCTGATGAGGAAAGGAGCTACTTTGCCGTAGACGCCAGCCAAGCCCTCTCATCTAACGTGTTTCCTGTCTCATAATTTACCAACATCTATTATTTGTTTTTTCCATCACTCTCTACACTCTTTCTCCTGATTCTCCTCTTGCCATATCTACAGGTCCCCTTCTTTCCCGTTCCTTCCACCTAAGCAACCCTTCCCTCACTCTCGCAAAACCTATCCCTGACTGTCTGAAGGGTAGTGTTTGAGGCTGTATCACAGCAATCTCTTGTTAATGTATTTGGGTCAAATGAGGGGCCTCAATAAAGAGATCTGGGGCAGAATGAGCAAATGTCTGTTGATGAAGTCTCACCCCTGTGAAGGAGGGAGGAGGCTGGGACGGGGGAGGGGGAGGTGGGGGATGGCTTGGGTGTGAGTGCCTTGATAGGAGTGGGCAGGGATTCGGGGCTCCCTCCGGGCAGTCATCCCGGAGAAGCCTGGATTATTTATCCGTTTCGAGTCAGCAAGCCTATTCTGAACACATGGTGTTTGTCTAGCACCGCTGTTAGGCTCTGGAAGAATAGAGAATGCCAGTCCTGTCCCTGCTCCTGAGCAGATCAGGCTCACTGGGAAGTCAAGACAAGCACACTAAACAATTGAAGAAAAATAGAAAGCAATATGTAATTAAGTGATTACGCACTGTTGGATAGCACTCTCCCTGCAGCTCTTACTTGAACTTCAAGGCTGAGCCCAAACTCAGCAAGTCCTTCCCAGAGCAGGCCCTCCCTGCAGTCCTCTCATCTGGGTTCCCACTGCTGTCTCTATACACCTCACGTGCAAGCTCAGCACATTCTAGATGGTTCTTCATCTACATCTACATGTCTGTCTTCCTCACTAGCCTGTGAGCCTTGTGAAGGCAGGGACCAGGGCTTTTTCTCTGTGTCCATAGGGCCTGGCTCTCAAAAAGTTCCTAATCAATGTTTGTTAAAAGAAGGAATGAATGAAAGAACAGAATGGACTCCTAAGAAAGAGATCAGAGTGGACTGGATGGCTTCATAACAGATGTGAGCTTTTTCTAGGGTTAAATGAGGAGTGGGGTTTGACTGGTGGCAAAGGAGATGGGGAGAGGACATCTCAATTGGTGGAAACAACAGACACACAGGAAGTATGTGCCTGTTATATTGGGGACACAGAGAGACAATTTCAAGCGGTGGTAGTGAGGTTGGGTGGGCATATGGGGTTGGCTTGTGCAGGTATTTGAATTTAATCCTGGGAGCTGGGGGAGGGGGCTGCTGTTGTTGTTAGGTGTCATCAAGTTGGTTCTGACTCATAGTGACCCTGTGTACAACAAAACAGAACACTGCCTTGTCCTGCACCATCCTCAAAATCATTGCTACATTTGAGCCCATTGTTGCAGTCACTGTATCAATCTATCTTGGTGAGGGTCTTCCTCATTTTCACTGACCCTCTTCTTTACCAAGCATGATGTCCTCCTCCAGGGACTGGTCTCTCCTGATAACATGTCCAAAGTATGTGAGATGAAGTCTTGCCATTCTTGTTTCTGAGGAGCATTTTGGTATACTTCTTCCAAAACAGATTTGTTCATTCTTCTAGCAGTACATGGTATATTCAATATTCTTTGCCAACACCATAACTCAAATCTTCCTCAGTCTTCTTTATTCATTGTTCAGCTTTCGCATGCATATCAGGTAATTGAAAATACCACGACTTGGGTCAGGTGCACCTCAGTCCTCAAAGTGACATCTTTGCTTTTCAACACTTTGAAGAGGTCTTTTGCTGCAGACTTGCCCAGTGGAATGCACTGTTTGATTTCTTGACTGCTGCTTCCATGGGTGTTGATTGTAGATCCAAGTAAAATGAAATCCTTGACAACTTCAATATTTTCTCTGTTTATCATGCTGTTGCTTACTGGTCCAGTTGTGAGGATTTTTGTTTTCTTTATGTTGAGGTGTAATCCATACTGAAGTCTGTAGTCTTTGATCTTCGTCATTAAGTGCTTCAAGTGTTCACTTTCAGCAAGCAAGGTTGTGTCATCTGCATATGGCAGGATGTTCATGAGTCTTCTACCAATCCTGATACCACGTTCTTTTTCATATAATCCAGTTTCTTGGATTATTTGCTCAACATACAGATTGAATAGGTATGGTGAAATGATACACCCATGATGCACTCCTTTCCTGATTTTATACTACACAGTATGCCCTTGTTCTGTTCAAATGACTGCCTCTTGATCTATGTGCAGGTTTCTCATGAGCACAATTAAGTGTTCTGGAATTCCCATTTTTTGCAGTGTTATCCATAATTTGTTATGATTCACAGAGTTGAATACCTTTGCATAGTCAATAAAACACAGGTTTACACAGGTAAACATTGTTAAGGGTTAAATTGTGTCCCAAAAAAATGTATGTCAACTTAGCTAGGCCACGGTTCCAAGTATTGTGTATTTGTCCACCATCTTGTAATCTGAAGTGATCATCCGATGTGTTGTAAATCTTAACCTCTATGAGGTTAATGAGGCAGAATTAAAGGCAATTATGTTAATGAGGCAGGACTCAATCTACAAGATTAGGTTGTATCTTGAGTCAATCTCTTTTGAGATATAAAAGAGAGAATCGAGCAGAGAGGAAAGGGGACCTCATTACCACCAAGCAAGAAGAACCAGAAGCAAAGCGCCTCCTTTGGTCCCAGAGTCCCTGTACTGAGAAGCTCCTAGACCAGGGGAAGATTGATGACAAGGACTTTCCCTCAGAGCTGACAGAGATAGAAAGCCTTCCCCTGGAGCTGGCACCCTGAATTTGGACTTCTAGTCTCCTAAATGTGAGAGAATACATTTCTCTTTGTTAAAGCCATCCACTTGTGGTATTTCTGTTATAGCAGCACTAGATACCTAAGACAACATCTATCTGGTATTCTCTACTTTCAGCCAAGATCCATCTAACATCAGCAATGATATCGCTTCGTTCCATGTCCTCTTTTGCATCCAGCTTGAATTTCTGGCAGTTCCCTGTTGATGTACTGTTGCAATCATTTTTTGAATTTGCATGTGATATTAACGATATTGTTCAATAATTTCCACATTCTGCTGGATCACTTTTCTTTGGAATGGGCCCAAATATGGATCTCTTCCAGTCAGCTGGCCAGGTAGCTGCCTTTCAAATTTCTTGACATAGACGAGGGAGCACTTCCAGCACTGCATCCGTTTGTTGAAACTTCTCAATTGGTATTCCCTCAGTTCTCAGAGCATTGTTTTTTGCCAATGCCTTCAGTGCAGCTTGGACTTCTTCTTTCAATATGATCAGTTCTTGATCATATGCTACCTCCTGAAATGGTTGAACATTGACCTATTCTTTTTGGTACAGTGACCCTGTGTATTCCTTCCATCTTCTTTTGTTGCTTCCTACATCATTCAGTATTTTGCCCATAGAATCCTTCAGTATTGTAACTCAAGGCTTAAATTTTTTTCTTCAGTTTTTTCAGCTTAAGAAACACTGAGTGTATTCTTCCCTTTTGGTTTTCTAACTCTAAGTCTTTGCACATGTCATTACAATACTTTACCTTGTCTTCTCGAGCCGCCCCTTGAAATCTTCTGTTCAGCTCTTTTGCTTCATGATTTCTTTGATTCGCTTTAGCTGCTCTACATTTAAGAGCAAGTTTCAGAGTCTCTTCTGACATCCATTTTGGTCTTTCCTTTCCTTCTTGTCTTTTAAATGATCTTTTTCTTTCTTCATGTATGATGTCCTTGATGTCATCCCACAACTCATCTGGTCTTCTGTCATTAGTGTTCAATGAGTCAAATCTATTCTCAAGATGGTCTCTAAATTCAGATGGGATATACTCAAGGTCACACTTTCGCTCTTATGGACTTGTTTTAATTTTATTCAGCTTCAGCTTGAACTTGCGTATGAGCAACTGATGGCCTCTGGCCCTGATGATATTGAGCTTCTCCATCATCTCTTTCCACAGATGCAGTGGATTTGATTCCTGTATATTCCATCTGGTGAGGTCTATGTGTATAGTTGCCAGTTTATGTTGGTGAAAAAAAGATATTTGCAATGAAGTAGTCATTGATCTTACAAAATTCTACTCGTTTCTATCACCAAGGCCATATTTTCCAACTACCGATCCTTTTTTGTTTTCAACTTTTGCATTCCAACCACCAGTAATTACCAATGCATCTTGATGGTATATTTGATCAATTTCAGACTGCAGAAGTTGGTAAAAATCTTCAATTTCTTCATCTTTGGCATTAGTTTTTGGTGCATAAATTTGAATAACAGTCGTATTAACTGGCCTTCCTTGCAGGCGTATAGATATTATCCCATCACTGACAGTGTTGTACTTCAGGATAGATCTTGAAATGTTCTTTTTGACAATGAATGTGACACCATTCCCTCTCAATTTGCCATTCCCAGCATAGTAGACCACATGATTTTCTGGTTCAAGATGGCCAGTACCAGTCCATTTTAGTTCACTAATGCCTTGGATATCAATGTTTATGTGTTCCATTTCGTTTTTTGATGATTTCCCATTTTCCTAGATTCATACTTCATACATTCCACATTCTGATTTATTAATGGATGTTTGAAGCTGTTTCTTCTCGTTTTGAGTCATACCACAACAGCATATGAAGGTGCTGAAAGCTTTACTCTGTCCACGTCATTAAGGTCGACTCTACTTTGAAGAGGCAGCTCTTCCCTAGTTGTCTTTTAAGTGCCTTCCAACCTAAGGGGCTCATCTTCCGGCACTATATCAGACAATGTTTCACTGCCGTTTATAAGGTTTTTACTGGTCAATTTTTTTAGAAGTAAATGCCAGGTCCTTCTTCCTAGTGTGTCTTAGTCTGGAAGCTCTGCTGAAACCCGTCCACCATGGATGACCCTGCTGGTATTTGACATACCGGTGACATGGCTTCCAGCATCACAGCAACATGCAAGCCACCGCAGTAAGACAAACTGACAGAAAAGTGGTGGTGGGTGGGGAGGACATCATTTAATCTGGCAATGAGAAGCAGGATGGATATGGGGAAGGGAGATGATGAGATACAGAAGGCAGAGGGCCCAGCTCTTATAATCAGAGACTTGTAATACTCAAGGCAAAGGTGGGAGAACATGGACTAGAGTGGTGTCCATGGGAATGAAGAGAAGAGGTTGGGTTTTCTACAATGGGAATCCCACAGGCCTGGGCCCTGCTGGGGGTCCTGGCAGGAAGAACCCGCATTCTCTCCAGGACAGGTCCAGGCTGAGGGCAAGTGTAGGAGCTGGGGGGCAGGGGTGGGAAAACCAAGCAGCTAAACAAGCCCATAAATGATACCCGTTACTTTTCATAT